TTGCACAACATTTCCCCTCCCCACCCATGGCTTTATTTACTCGCATTAGGGAAAACGCCCACTTTTAAGCCTAGATAACTGGACTCCATACCATCTGACATTGCTAGGCATCCAAGCTCATGCATAATTCGTACCTTTTTCCAATCTTTCCCCCATAGATGGCAATCTTATTGTACTATTGTACCCAATTGTTGGTTATGGCATGGCATTTCACTGTTCAGAGATTGTCATCCATTTCCATTAATGTAACTGAATCCATTACCCCACCCCTACTATTTTTCCTCACTTGAAAACCCAACAACTCTATTGTAAAGAAAAAATAGTCCTTGTATACAAGGCCTTACTAAAATTTTTTAAAGAGGAAAAAGATGCTTTCTTCTTTTTATTATTATTATACAGGATCTATATAGTGCCAATAGTTTGCTCAGCGCTTTAATTAAAAAAAAGGAGACAGTGCCGTTACAAACCAATTCAAGACAAGAAGGTTAGGCTGGCCAGACACTTTTTTTTGTCCAGCCTGGAATCTCCAGCTGCAGTTTTAGCATTTTGACAGTCGGCAACAACTGACTGGATGCAGCCATTGTTTGGCCAACAATTTCCATTTGGCTCCTTCTATTTTTCAATAGAGGGACGTCACATGGGAGGCGTAGTGACTTTTTAGCCTAAAGACAAGCAGTGTAGGAGATATATGGGTTGGGGTAGGGAGTTCCAGAGGATGGGAGATGTCTTTGAGGGGAGCATGGGAGGAGTTGACAAGGGAGCTAGAGAGCAGGAGGTCTTGTAAGGAGTGAAAAGGATGATTTTGGTGATATTTTGAGATGAGATTGGTGATGTAGCTGGGGAAGAATAGTGCCTGGCTTTGTATGCTTTCCTTAATATTTTGAATTTTATTTGTTGGGTGATCAAAAAACAGTAGAAGGGTTGGCAAAGTTGGTGGACACCGAGTGGGGTGTATAGTAGATAAGTCTGGCAGAAGCATTCATGATAGAGGAGGCCAACGAGGAGAGAGTTTTAAAGGCAAAAGATAACAAGCAGGGGGGACTGACAACTCATGGGGCCCCCTGGGCAATAGGGGATCGTGGGGCCCCTGTGTCCCTTGCCCAAACTCAAAAAAGCCTATGAAAAAGGTACCAGGGGCATCTCATGGGGCCCCTACTGACCCTGGGCCCTCGACAGTGCACCGTTCAAATGGTCAGTCCGCCCCTGATAACAAGTGAGTGGTTTAGTAGTCTGGTGATGTAGTTGGTTATTTTGATAATGTTATTGAGATTACGGTGGCAAGATTTGAAGTGATTGGATGTGGAGCTGATAGGTTAGGGCTGGTCAGGGTCCAGGTTTACACTTAGCCCCTGGCATAGGAGGGGGGACTGATAGTTGTGCACTTTCTTTATGCAGGTCTCTACTTGTTAACTCACCATCACTAAATATCAGAGCAATTACTACTGTAGTATACCTGCTCTGCCAGTTTCACCACTGAACCAAGTTCAGAAGACATTAGGTAGGCTCATTGTATGTCTATTACTATTTCTTGTACAATGGGCTGTTAATGGGCTGTATTTAGCACAGCAGATATACTGAGTGTGCTGGAGGATTGTACAGCAGGAGGTAGACTTATAACAGCAGAGACCTGCTGAACAAGACCTGAAAAGGAGATCAGTGTCATAATGATTTGTAAACCTCTGCCAGCAAAGACATCACTAGAGAGGTATTCTGGCATTAACTAGGAAAAGACGTTATACTCGGCAGGACCCAGGCGTGGTGTCATCGCTTCCAGGCCTGGGAAAGGGATGAAGTTTAAAAAGGATTACATTAGTTACACTGCTGTCTTTATAGTTGGTAGCAAATCCTAGATAACTACATCCCATGGATAGTAACAAAATCTAACAAATCTAAATCATCTAAAATTCTTTTCCACATCATCACAAAGCAATCATATTCATAATGTAGATGTATGATTGTTTATGGTGTAAAATATCTATTTTGCATAATATGTATATTTTTTAATCTATGGATGGCTGGACAAGCATACTCTTTTTCATTTTTAACCACGTATTATCTTTTTAAGTGTATGGCTCAGGGACCAACAATATTTGATTACATTCCTACAGCCAAGTCATTTAGTATTATTCTGCATTTTTAAAATTAATCTATTATCTATTGTATTTATTTCTATTTTTTTTAATTCTTTTTAATTAATTTTACATCATTACTTTTTAGGCATTTGATCTAAAGAGTTAAATTTTTAATCATGCATCCAAGACTGGACAAATGACTTCTCTGTGAAATCATTCCCTCACCCCACCGCTATGGGATTCCATCAATCCCATACAGAGGTTTTCTGGCTTAATTTGGTGATAGATCCTAGCCAAGAAAAATATGTATTTGTCTATGAAGCAAAAAATTTATGCAAATGCATTGTGGGAGTTTTTTCGAGATGAGAAAAGGGTAAAGGGGAAAGTAATAAGTATTTTCTTACAAACTGGGTTTGGATGTGGAAATGCATACCGATGGGATAATTTCCATATGTTAAAAGCATAGATGCTAAAAAAATAATGAGATCAAAGCCAAGGTTACTTGTTCAAGGGCATCAGCTTGATATGCTTTCTTTTCAATTTGAAACATTTTTATGGCTACAAATGTTACACTTTGAGAAATTGTTAAAAACAATAAACATATTTCTGTGTCACAAGGAAAGCTACTACACTTACATATTACTTAGCATGTAGGGTATAGCAGTTTATTTGATGCTATGTCTTTAACCCCTTCATGACAGAGGGTAAAACAAACCCTAAAACCTCCACACAGTTTTTTCAACTTTGACATGTGTTAGTAAAAACTGTACATATCAACTACTTTGTGTATCCAGGTGAATTATACCTCGTTTTTTTCCAAGACAAATTGGAGTTTCATTTGATAGTAAACATGAATGAATATCTCCTGATTTTTTTTTTTATTATCAAGGAGGAAACCTACCCAAAAATAGTAAAAAAAAATAAATAATAAAAAAAAATATTTAGCTGTATATATTTCTTGTTATTAACGTAGCCTACTGCCAAAGAACAACCCAGGATAAATTCTCCTACTCCTGTCGATTGTAGCAATACCACATGTGTGTATGTTATTTGGTGTTTGTACCCAATAGTAAAGCCCAGAAACAATAGTGTGCATTTTGCTTTTTTTTTTTCCTGCGTCTCAGCTTGCCCTTGGGTACCACATCTGGACCACAGTGACTGCAGATTTCTGGAAGAAATCTCTGGTGTTCCTGCCAATCCCTCTGCTTTCCTATTAAGAACTGACCACACTAAGCAGGAGAAACACACCATGGTCAGTTCCTCTAACTATGCTGGGAACTGCTCTCCTTTCAATGATCAGGCTTGTCAACTGAGAACAGATGGTATGTAATCACTTAATTAAAGAAAAAAAGGGGGGGGAAGGGGGGTATTTATAAAGTTTTTTTTTTATATGTGTACTAAAATATCTTGTCTTTCATTTCTATTTTAAACTGAATGGGATGTTTTTGTCAAGATGAAAGGTTTCCAAATCACTTTAAGTACCATTTTTGATACCTAGATAGATGAGTTGCCTTATTTGTGTGCACTTCCTATTACACCACAGGCTGCACTTAGTTTGGCGCCCTCTGGTGTCCTCTCAGTATCACAGTATATCCAGCTGACAGTCTTGTGCAATCCCTGGACTGGACTCTGGCTCCCTACTAGACTGAGATCTTCACAATCACAGACAACTTTGATAATGGGAGAACTTTTAACTGTCTACATGTGATGTTGCCAATTTGTCTTTTTCCACAATAATTATGTAAATATACTACACTCAGATCACACCCTCTTCTGTCCTTATCTGTTACTCATAGAGAATGTTTCTGTCTCCTAGAGGTGCTGCACCGAGTGTCCTGAGGCCAGCAAGAGTTAACCCCTGGAGGTTCAATTGGACTTTATGAACTTTTTTTGCTGAACTAATTACATTTCCATTAGCTCACACTACATTTTGCGCCATATCTATTATCATTTTTTTTTCCCTGTCCTACCTAAAACACATTGACACTAAGAGGTTGATTTACTAAAACTGGAGAGTGCAAAATCTGCTGCAGCTCTACATAGCAAACCAATCAGCTTCCAGGTTTTATTGTGAAAGCTTAATTGAAAAAGCTGAATTTAGAAGCTGATTGGCTACCATGCACAGCAGCACCAGATTCTGAGTGCACGCAGTTTTAGTAAATCTACCCCCAACTCTCACTGATACGAATATTTAAAAATGTAATAAATATATTTGTTCTTTTTAGGGTATGCTGCGTAAATCATAACAAAATATAGTGAAATTTTCTTAAACTTGACTTCAAAAATATGGAAATACACAATTAGCCATACATGGGTCGAAATTTGACCGATTTTCATCCGAAAATCAGACCTAAGAATAATAGGCCGATTTTCGCTCTGTTAGTGGGTCAATGGCACTGGGTTCCGATTTTCGTGGTTCCTCCCCTTTTCGGTGATCGGGCATGTTGAAAAATTTGTGAAAAACAACCGATTTTCGACTCAATGATGGTCAAATCGTTCGATCGTTTTTCCGAAAAGAATATGCGCATGAACCGTGACCTGAAAGGAACAGAAGTTTTGCTGTTATATGGGGTGAACTTTATGACTTGGTCGGCTGATTTTCGAAATCATTGGATGGCACCATCGGATTACCGAGTGAATGACGTTTTCGATTTTTGGACGAAAAATCATTCGGAATTTGAACCATGTATGGCCTGCATTAGACCACTGATTCACCTGTCACAGCTGAAGTTTACTAATCTAATAATCTTGCAACTTTCCCAGTTGAGGACCAGACAGGTGGTAAGCAACATTACTAGAGATGAGCGAATTATTCAAAAAATTCGATTCGGCTGATTCGCCGAATTCGCGGAATAAATTCGATTCGAGGCGAATATATTCGCTGCGAATTTAACTTATAAAAAGGTGTTTCTAGGCTTCAGAGAGCCTTTATATTAGTGCAGAACACTGTACCTTTAATTTAAATGCCCTTGGAGTCTGCTGGGGAAGAGAAATCTAATACTGTCAGTCAGTATGACATGCAGATGAGTGCCGTCGATCTTAGAATCACCGCACACTTCACTCATTTGGGCAGTCACGGGGCCAAAAACCAGAGTGTGGAGCCACAGTGTGGCGGTGGAGGCAGCAGCAATGGGAGGCCATACAGCACCCTATGACAAAATGGAACCCACCAGCAGTGTGAGGAGACCTGAAAGTGGCACATGGCAGAGTGTGGCGATGGAGACAGCAGCAATGGGAGGCCGTACAGGGACCCCATGACACACTCTGGACCTGGCAGCAGCATGAGGAGGCGGTACAGGGGGCCCATGACAGATTACGGGCCTGGCAGCAGCAGTGGGCGGGCGTGTGGATGCAGCAGTAAGTTATCGGAAGCCAAACACATGGCCTCGGTTAAAAAGCGGAAGCCGTCAGCAAGCGTGAGCAGACGACAGAGGCACATGGCGCAGGGTGGCGGTGGAGGCAGCAGCAATGGAAGGCCATACAGCACCCTATCACAAAATGGAACCCACCAACAGTGTAAGGAGACCTGAAAGAGGCACATGGCGCAGGGTGGCGGTGGAGGCAGCAGTATTCGGAAGACAAACACAGGACTAGTTTAAAAAGCGGAAGCCGTCAGCAGCGTGAGCAGACGACAGAGGCACATGGCGCAGGGTGGCGGTGGAGGCAGCAGTATTCGGAAGCCATACACAGGCCTAGGTTAAAAAGCGGAAGCCGTCAGCAGCGTGAGCAGACCAGAGACACATGGCGCAGGGTGGCGGTGGATGCAGCAGTATTCAAGCCAAACACAGGCCTCGGTAAAAAGCGGAAGCCGTCAGCAGCGTGAGCAGACGACAGAGGCACATTGCGCAGGTGGCAGGTGGAGGCAGCAGCAATGGAAGGCCATACAGGCAGGACTAGTTTACAAAAGCGGAACCCACCAGCAGTGTGAGGAGACCCTTGACAGAGGCACATGGCGCAGGGTGGCGGTGGAGGCAGCAGTATTCGGAAGCCATACACAGGCCTAGTTAAAAAGCGGAAGCCGTCAGCAGCGTGAGCAGACGACAGAGACACATGGCGCAGGGTGGCGGTGGATGCAGCATTATTCGGAAGCCAAACACAGGCCTCGGTTAAAAAAGCGAGAAGCCGTCAGCAGACGTGGTGCAGGCAGACGACAGGGCACTTGGGCGCAGCGGTGGCGGTGGAGGCAGCAGCAATGGGAGGCCAAACAGACACCCAATGACAAAATGGAACCCACCAGCAGTGTGAGGAGACCTGAAAGTGGCCACATTCGAGTGTGGCGATGGAGACAGTCATCAAATGGAGGGGCCGTACAGGGACCCATAGACCACACTCCTGTGACCGTGGCAAGCAATGCATGGAGAGGAGGCGGTACAGCGGGCCCATGAACAGATTACGGGGCCAGGCAAGCATCATGAGGAGGACCGGTACGGGGGCCCATTGGCAGATATACG